TACACTACAATACTACTATGTATTATGAAGAATGTTTGGCAAATACCTTTAAAAATGTTCAATTTAAATTTCCCTATTAAGTTGTTTATTTATAAACACTTGGATAAACTTATTAAAAGTACATTTTATCTCCTTTTTTTCTCTATAATCTCAAAAAAAAAAGATTTTAATCAACAACAAAATTTTTTTTTCATGAATGTTACTACTTTATTGTACAGTTATGAATTAGTTATTTATTTACAAATTAATTGATTTTTTGGGCGTTATAATAAAAGTTATTAGAAAGATATTGAAAAAAGGTCAAATACTATAATACATTAATGTATTAACTAGATTACGTTTTCTATATTGATGATGATTATATATGTCCTCTCTCTCTCCCTATATATATATATATTACTTCGAAGAAAAACAATAAAACCAAATAAATAATAGAAATTTAGTATCAGAAAGGGTTTCGTGGAGATTGAAGTAATTTCAATAGCTGATACTAATCAACATATACTCACTAGTGACTGGCTTCAAGAGGTATATCTTGGAGTTCTAGTGAGAAGTAGTGACTAGTGGAGTTCAGCCAGGTCAGTTGTGAGATAGTAACTCATTGATGACAATGGTGGATGTGTCGCTCAATTTCGTGGATTAGTTGAAGTTAGACATTAACACCGTTGGATGCCGATCGGCTCAGTGGTCTAGTGGTTATGCGCTGGTTAAGACTGATAGATCCTGGGTTCAAATCCCGTGAGGCGGGGTCGTAGATGCACACAGCTGAGGAGTCCCACAATAGGACGAGTTGGTCGTCCAGTGCTTCCAGGTTTTTCATGGTGGTTTAGTTTCAATTGACTCATGATCTCAACTACTGAAATAGAAATTTAGTAAATCATCATAATTTAATGGGGTTTATTAAAGCATGGTGGTATTTATTTAGTTAATTTTGTCCAAAAAACTATTCCCGTTAGCTTAAAAACTTGGTCTTCTGTTTCTAGAACAAAAGATCTTTGTTAGGACTTTCTGAAGTATTACATTTAATAGTGTGTACCCTCTCATCAATGTGTATACACTAATTCATCTAGTAGTAAGTTACAAGAGTTAACTATTGTTAAACTTCGACAATAACGACTAAGGTATAGGGGTTATCGGTTGACCCACGGTAAATTTTCTTTAACGACGGTTGAGGATTTTTTAAAAATCCGATCCAACTAGATGTATGTCACGCAATAACACACGCTAATGGAGAATATAGAACTTTCAGGATAGCTTTATTCTACCGACAGAAATTAAATTTGATAAAGAACAACTCTTTTTTATGGTAAAATTTAATATCCCTGAATTACATAAAATGACTGGTGGGATAGAAACATGTTGGTGCTGAAACAGATTTCATCATCGGTATTGAATTGTTGTCCTGCTACATTGTGGTTATAAGTGAAGTTAGCATGGTTGACAATTGGCTTTGAAGTCAGTGATTTAATGGCGACGTTCTCACCCTCGGAACTGAAACTTATTAGAAAAGATATTGGAACGAATGTTTGCAGAGTGTTATGTTCCATTCTTAAAGACATATTATATGTCATGAAGCACAAATTCCAAATAACTTAGCTGACAAACACAATGCATTACTAATTAATCAGTGAGTAGTTCATGTATTAGTTAAAAGAGATCTATAAAGTATTTAAATAAACAATGTGCCAATACCTATAACCTTGAACTTGATTTGTATAAACATGAAAATAAGCTTATAAAAGATGGATGTGTTTGTAGTCCACACTAACAAAAATCAATATTTAGTAAGTTGTACTAGGTTGATGTTGATATAATTTATTATGAGATGGATGATGTATTTGTCAGATTGAAATTCAATTGAATGAGAACTACGGCTTTTTTAATGGGGCCTTGATTCATATCAATACAAATAACGCTATCTTTCCCAGACTTCAGACTTCCACTTATAATGCAGGTATTTAACAAGTATGTCTTCTTAATAGAGAAGCAGTACGGAGATGCTTCACCTAAACAAGTGACTGGCTTCAAAAATTAATTTGTTCGGGTAACTGACCATAAAGTTTGATTTGTGAATTCTTCAAGTTCGCGTTGTTTGCTGGTGAATGTTTAATTATCATTAGCACGAATTTTGCAATAAAGTATGTATCTGAGTTGTATAAAATTCTAGGTAAGTAAAATAATCGTACTCATCTTTTGTGTAAACATTAATACGCTAATCAATTATTTGAATAAATAGTAGAACCAGATTGAACCTAATTTTCTGTAACAGAATGGAAGACGCTCTTTTCTTCCATGTCTCGTATACTTCCAGAATGTCTTTTATTTCAAATGATAAAATAATGTCAATAATTAGTAATATTATGCCATGAGTGATTGGAATTTGAATCGGAAACAAGCGTTATTCATGTAGTTATCTCTTTTACGGACCAAACTTGGAAGTTTTATTTACTCGGTGTTATGAGGGGAAGGTCTTACAACTAGTTGTCTAAACGATTTCATTTTCAACTGACTCAATTCCGAAACATTCTTCACGGAATCTGTCTAAAAAAGAAGTGATGCATTTACCAAGTATCTGGAAAATTTTGATTTGATTAATATTTCCTACTGATTAAGATCAGTGATTCACAGCTATATCAGGATAAAATATGTTTTTTCATGTTCTTATGATAGAAAAACATCACCCTGTGCATTTCATTAAACCTAACCTTTGTGTCTGTGATAAGTTTGTAATACTGTTCTCCCTATTTTGGCTATCATAATAAACATTTGAGTCAGTTACAGATAATTTACCAAACAATGATTTTACTTCATTGTTTCTCGCAATAACTTCTTTCATTTAGTTGATTAGTTGTAGTATTCTCTTTAAGGTTATGTGACTGTTATTGCCACCAGACTTTTAATCAATCCTTTAACTACATGTTGAAATAGATAAGTCTGTAGGTTAGTCCATCCTATGGAAAGATCAATCTATTCATTCTTCTCAAGTCACATTTTTACCGTCACTTATTTGTTTATCGACCTTGACTGTTTTTACGTGAGCGTATGTGTATGCATTTCTTATCTTACTCAACACTTGTCTGTAACTTTTGTCTAACTATAAATATCGATTAACGCCTAATTAAATCGAGTTGGTTTAAATGCCTTCTCTACCACGAGTCATTTCGTTTCGCTCTCTTCTTTGGTTCTTTGTCTGTAACAACAATTGTGTGAAATACATGTATTCGAAATTTACTCTCGTGTTTGACTTATTTAATTCCGTTATTGACTAACGCAAGCTAAGTCGGTAAAATATATGAGGATAGCCGACATGTATATTTCAGTGACAATCAGCATACAATCCATTAAAAGTCAATTAACTATAAATATACTAAACGATTTCCTATCGCCAAATATTTTAGTTGTATGAGATTGACGAACTGTTGTACACTGTAAACTTATATTTTGTTTACATAATATACGTCAGTCATAAATCAAAATCATAAATAACAGGCAACTACACGTTTCTCTGCATTAATTTGTTCTAATTTTGGAATTAGGAATTTTTGATAATGTATCGTGGGTTTAAAAATATATGTGACTTATTGTTGATGAAGTGGAAGGCATACGAGTATTCTCAACTATATATAAATCACAGATTTCTTTTTTGCATATGTAAATGGTAATAATCGTGGTGGTGGAGAATTAGTAAAGTAGTTTATTACAGAATGATTAGACTGCTACTTGCTTCATTGCACACATATGTATTTATGTAATGGAGGAAGAAAATAAGGGAAATTTGAACAAGTTTAATATTGTTAACATTAGTCAGTCTTAAATTTTGGTTCGTTGCTGTTGATATTTTCTCTCCAGAAATATCGTTGCGTTTTATTTTCTTCATCACTTAGTACAGGCAGAGTAAGAGACAAGAAATGGACAATTCCACAAACACACACACAGACTTTCAGTAACAGTAAGAATGAAGACTGCATTTATGTGTACTGATGTTTCTGGAAAAACAACTAAGCTTAATACCAAGATTTATGAAAATACAGGCACTTGGTAAGAAAGAAATAGTGATTTAACATTTTTTAGAAATAAATAACTCAAAGACTGACTTACTACACAATGATTGTTCAATAATAAGGTATATTTGAGAATATGAGATGTGAATAAGACTAGAGTGAGAGTATAATGAAAAACAATACAGGAGATTCATTGACAAAAAGTTACTATAAGATATGTGAATCAATCAATCTATCTATTAACAATGGAATTTATGATTGTCATCCTTTCAAATAATGTATACATCTATACGACTACTGATGATAATAATGAGGCATACCGTATCATACAGAAAAGTAATGAACGGGGAGTCAGTAATAATAATAGTAGCAATAATAGGTATTAATAAACACTCAACAAGATTTATTTATTTTCACAGGAAAAGATGAACAGAGAATGAGTAAATTAGAGCATTCTCTAAAACAAAAGTTCATCAATCAATTAATTAATTGAACAATTCAATAGATTCATAATGAAATATCAACAAGAAAAATAGAGAATAATAATAGTAGTAACAATTATTTGTGAAAAAAATAACAAATGAAAAGAAATATATATTGGTAATTATTATTGAATTAACAAAGACAAACACTGAATTGGTATAATGTGCACAAAAAGCCCAATTCTTCAAATGATGTTAACAGAATGTTGAACAATATGTTGCTTATCACTGCCTCACTTACTTACTAACTATCTCTCTTTCATCCACTTTTAATTTCATCAAATTGTTTTCTATGGTAAAAATGAATAATAGTGATGATGATAATAATAGTAATAAAATAATGATAAATGAAAGTTAATGATCTATATCAACAATATTTCGATATTAGATTGAATTTACAAATAATGATAATGAGGATGATATTAGTAGTACTGATCGTAGTAGCAGCATTTAAAGTGATTTGTAAAATAGTTGGATACTCTCCTCCATCTTTTTTTATCGTTTTGTTATTTTTCTTTTATATCGGTTTGTATAATACAGTAGAGACAAATTTTTGCCGGTAACGTGTTATAGCTGAGAGAACAATGACACCATCCTAAAATCAATCAAAAAGAAATGTAAACAATGGATATAGATACATATATAATATTCTGAATTATTAAATAAAGTTAACAAATACTATTACGTCTACAAATGATCTGACCTCTCATGGTATCCATCGTTAAAGTTGACTAGGTTTAGTTCATATTTTAAAATTATTCATAAACTGTTATATCTAGAGCTTAAATTCTTGATACACTGCGTACTACTTGAGCACTCGAATGCTAGAACACTCCAAGTTGCAAATGGGAAGACAGAAGACCAGTGAGGAGGAATGTTATTCCAACAGTGCCAAATATGGCACAAAAATCTTAGGTATTTATAGATTTTAGTAAAAGCGAAATCATCATTATAGTCATTCAATCCGTAAACAGTGGTTTTTATCTTCTGTCTAATAGGGAAGCTATACATCGGGATTCGGTAATGTTATCCCAAAAGATCATCGGATGGAATGTCTTTGGCTCTTACTGAGCTTCTTAGAGCGTCCTTCAGTTCAACTGTGGGCCGTCCTCACATAAATAATAGTAATAAGGTAACCCATTTATTTAAACGAGTACTCATTTCTGTCAAGGCAAGTATAACTACCCAGTTAACTAAAGTGAAATAGGTAAAGGGAGGGATTCAAAGCTGTAACTTATTACCACTGGTTCGGTAGAATGTTTTAATCAATTTTAAGCCGGAACTTATTGGATAATTATCATTAATAAAAATATCATTTCCAGTAATTCATGAGTATTTAGATGGTGGTTGGAGGTAGTCAACAGGAAACCCTGGACCCGGGTTTCCTGTTGACTACCTCCAACCACCATCTAAATCTCAATATATAGTGCCCGCAGTGTCGAGTCACCTAAACTGGTGGCCACATTGCAACATGATCGATGGCATTCGATCTACACTAATAAGGACTAAACAAGCATGACATTGATCACCACCCAGTGATCAATCAATTGTGAATTCATGAGTATGTTCAACTTCACAATACAAATTGTAATTAATCCCAGTATTACTACACACTCAAACCATTGGTTCGAAATTCACTTGAAATGACAGGATAATTGATAATTTTTTATAAGAGTAATCAAAAATATCTAGAATGAGATCATCTAGTAAGCTAATAAGAAGTTTGGCACAATGTTAAAGTTTCAGAAATCCAAATTAATTGCTACAGATTTGCATATATACCAACCAACCAACTTAGCGAGCGCGATAATTGAATTGTAACTAGTCTTGAAAGAAACAAAATATCCTACTGAAGATAATTCAGATTAAGACATGACAGCAATCAACAAATTAAATGAATTATTGGATGAAGCAATGTAAGATCTTGTAGATTTCCTAATTGACAATTAAAATAGATATTGAAAAGAAAATGAATAAATATGGGTAACATGGGATACGAGAAATAATAATGTAATTAAAAATCAGACTAATTGTTTGGGGGAATGAGAATTATTAATGAAACCATCAATGGTTAATAGTGAAATGTTTATAAGATGAAAATTAAAAAAGCCCTAATAATTCAAAGTTTCATCCAAGTAGAGCACATGAATATGTATTCTACTTGACAAATGACTTGTATTAATTAGTTACTTAAATAAAACTATGAGTAACACAGAGGAATAAGAGTAAAACCGATTAAAATATGATGTGGATCAAAAGTAATGAATAATTCCAGGAATAAAAGGAGAGTATATAGTAGAGGACCAACTGAAAAGGATACATATCAAGAAAACAAAACACAGTTAATAGTGTATAACACACATACATGTAACAACACATTAAAGTGTGTATATGTATGGTATTTATTATTATTATTATTATTATTATTATTATTTATTTTCTAAAAGCAAATTAAAATACAAATAATTGGTTATTTTCTCAGAAAATATGTTGTTTTAAATAACACTGACCTTAATAGACAAAGCATACATATGATTGACCATCACATGATCTGGTTGTGGCAATAAATTTGGATCACATTGAACATTTGTATCTCGATTAAGAATTACCTAAAAATTAGATGTAAGATAAGTTACTTTTTTCCCTAGAGTACAAAATATAAGTCTGAATGGTGAATATCAAAATTAAGATCGACTGATTTTATTTTACAGATTTTGTATGCTACAACATTTTTAGTTGATCATATTAAGCATTTAATCTAAGAATTTTGATTGCTAATTTGCTGCGATCGATTTGTGCAAAATTTAATTTCAGATGTAATTAGTCATTTGTATGGCTTGGTTAAAGCGTTTTCAGATGTGGATGGGAGTAGCTGGAGTTTTAAATTATCCGTTGGACTGAATATACAGTGAACATGGATATCATATGGTTCTATTTGGCGAACACCTCTATGTCATAGTCTTTGGATCGCCTTTAGCAGCTATCCAAACATGTTTGTGATGAGTACTACTCTCTCTCTAAATGCAAAACCCTGCTTTAAGACTGTTCTGGGTCAACGTTTAAACTAATGGTGGGGTGTGAAGTAGTAGAATGTGTCAAACACTTGAAAAGCCGTGGAATTCTCACAACTTATGGCATGTTGGTATTCAGTGGAATCTAGGCACGGATTCAGAAATTCGGCCGGCGTTTGTCAACTTGTCTTAGCTGTGGCAAAGACGAAATGTTCATCCTTCAAACAATGGGCGTATTCACTGTTCTGTTCTACTTTATAGCTGTGAAGCATCGTTTATGGAAGTAGAAGACATTAGTAGGCTACCGGTTTTTTATCATAACTTTCCTACAAACATTGCTTGTTTCTCAGAACAACCGAGTGAGCAATGCTGAATTTGGAAACAGGCACAAAGTTAAGATGGCGAATTGGTTTGTAGGGTTGAGGCCACCAACCAGGATACTCCAACCAACATTATTCTGGGCAATCCTTTCCAGTTGTTTCAAGTTACTATTCATCCTTTTCATGTCTGCTTCCAACTCGCGACGCAGCGTGTTCCTTGGCCTTTCTCTTTTCTGTATATCTTCAGAATTCAAAGTTAGTGCGTGCTTCGTGGTACAGTTGAGTGATTTCCGCAACGTAAACACCATTTATTTCCAGCGTCTTTTCCTAGTTTCCTCTTCAGCTCGAAGCTTGTTTTGTTTCCTCCAAAATTAGGTTGTTGTTGTTGATAGTATCCGGTCAATAGAAATTCAGTATCTCGAGTAGATAATAGTTTGTAAAGATTTGAACCTTTATGATGACAGTTGTAGTATATCTCCAAGTTTCAGCTCTATACAATAGAGCTGCCTCAACGTTCATACTGAAGATTTTGACTTTGATGCTGGCTGACAATTCTTTTGAGTCCCACATGCTTTCCACGTGTTGAGATGCTGCCCTTTCTTTCCCAATCTTTGCATCCACACCTGTATCAGATCCTCTCCTTGTTCATCGACGACGCTGTTCAGGTACGTGAAAGTTTCCATCTCTTCCAGAGCTTTTCCATCAAGTGTGATTGGGTTAGTGCTCTATATGTTGAATTTCGAGATATTAATTTTTGATTGTGTATGTTGAAGCCTACTACTACAGAGGCTGCTGCTACACTAGCTTTCTTGACCTGCATTTGTTGCTGTGTATGGGATAGACGAGCCAGGTCATCTACCAAGTTCGAATCATCTAACTCCATCCAAGCTGTCCATTGCATTACACGCTTTCCCTCAGATATGGAGGTCTCCATAATCCAGTCGACCACCAGAAGAAACAGAAAGAGAGAAAGTAAGCAGCCCTGTCTGACTTCGGTCCTCACTTGGAATGCGTCTGTCAGCTGTCCTCCATGCCTGACTTTGCGCTATATTCCATCGTATAAGTTCCGTACGATGTTCATGACGTCCTCAACTACGCCATAGTGTCGAAAATGTCCCATAAGGTTATTCTACCCACACTGCCAGATGCTTTCTCATAAACAAAGAAGTTGATGTGTAAGGACGAACTTCATTCAATCGATTGTTCAACAATAATCAGTAGTGTCACGATTTGGTTTGTGCGCGACCGACCCTTACGGAATCCAGCCTGTTAATCTCGAAGTTGGGTGGTCTACTAAATCTTTCATCCTGATCAACAACACTGTTGAAAACTTTTCCCGGTATTGACAGTAGTGTGATGTCTCTGTAGTTCTCACACGTGATGAAATCTCTCCTTGATGAGGTATCCTTCCTACCAGTCTGTCAGCACCTGTCCTTCCTCCCTAATCTTCCCGAGTAGGACGTGGAGTATATTTGCAGTTGCTTAGATGCGTGACTTCAGTGCCTCAGCTGGAATATTGTCAGCTCCTGCTGTTGTTCCACTTTTAATTTGTCTGATGGCCATCCTGATTTCTTCGATCGATAGTGAAGTGGCATTAAAAAGTGTCTGGGTATACTGCTTCGACATCTGGTGGGTTCAGTGGAGTTGGTTTATTCAAAAGTGCTCTAACTATCTGTTTCGCTGTTTTTGAATCTTAGTGATTGCCTTGCCCTCTTTGTCCCTGACTGTCCCAGGGCATTTGAGGGCTAAATGAAAACCGGCGACACCCGGTATTCCCAGTCAGTCACCCATGAAAGTACTGACTCAGCCCAACGTTGCTTGACTGTGGCAATCGGACGAGAACCGGTGTTTTCAACGTAGTATGGTTCCTTTCTCTCAGTCAGTCCATGCGTCCCATGGTATCTTGATTCTCAGTGTTGTCCATTCCAACTTTGGCATCTGGCCTTCCATCAGGATGGTTAGTTCGTTTCCTGAGCACTCCGCCATGATTGATTACAGTCTCTCGTAAAACTGATTTTTATCATCGTCATTGCAATCAATGGTAGGTACACAGCTTACTTACGCCTGTTACTCCCAATGGAGCATAGGCCTCCGAACATAGCATAGTACTGGATATCATTTATTGTGACCCCTTAATTCTTTGTTTTGAATGGTGCTTTGATGATCCTGGATCCATGAGATTTCCATCCTATAATTGCTCTTCGGGCTTCTTTGGACAGAATCAGTGCAAACACTTGTGTGAGAAGCATTTTCTTCTTTATAACTTGAGTACAACATAATCTCTCTCGAATATAATCTTTTCTGTTCAACTTTGGTTCAATGGGTTTCACTTATTCCGAGCACCGCCAAGTTATATCTCCTCATTTCCTTAACTACTTGACTGATCCTCCCAGTTTCCCACATTATCCGGATATTCCATGTGCCTATGTTAATCGTTGCTTTGGTTATCATGAGGCGTCACAATTCTTCTAAATAAAGACCCTTCAACTCCCAAGAAAGTGTTCAAAAGATTTAAATTATTTATTTTATGTGCTTTTTAGCAAGGTTTTTTACGGGATGGGGTTACTGACCCCATGCCCAACCTTCCTCCTTTACTCAAACTTGTGACTGGCAGGAGTTTGAATCTAAAATATCAGCTTCTTATTCATTGCTTGGAGCCAGTAGATACCTTAATTCATTTTGCAAAATAATTCATAAACTTAACTACACCCACTTAACAAGAACTCGATTTATGGTGATTTTCTGAGACAAAATGTTATGAGTATATTATACTATGTACCAAACTATTCCATCAGTCAAGATGTGAAAATGCGAATAAAGTTTTCGCCATATATTGATGTCAATTGGAGAACTATGGAAAACCAAGAACCAATAGTCAGCCGCCGCATTTTACTATGGAACTTCACAAAAAAAGTGTATCAATGACCTAAATATGTCTCTCTGAGCACGTAACCGTTAGGCTATTGAGTTGAGATCGATAGAACCTACTTACTTAACTACATATATATTTACTTCGGGAATCACTTAGTTTAGCTTTTTTATGATAAAGTCTAGTTTGTTTAAGTAATTCTGAAAAAATTGGGATATTTCCTATGGTGATGGTTACACTTGCATAGAAATATCTATTCATATAAACGAGTAGTAGTTTTTATGATCGATTGCCTCGATTCTTTCAGAAATGATCATATATATAGTTGACTAACAGGTTACAGGTGTATCGTTTAACAAAAGATAAATGGTTTCTGTTCAACGACTTATAACCAACAGTATAAATGTTGAAACTCGGTTGGGTAAACTTGTATTTCACAATGGCAGTGGACTAATTAGTTTTAAACTACGCAATATCAATGTACCGCTAGATAAATTCTGGTTATGTATCACGGTGCTGCGTAGTTTAAATTGGCCAATACATTTATTCACTTTAAAAAAATGACGAAAAAGAAGTAACCTGAAGTAATTGTGGAGGTAATAACGGAGGTGTTAATGCTTTCTTAGGATCACTTGAACTATTATGAACTGCTGGTGAAGGTAATGATCCTCCACTTCCAGTTTGCGGGGATAAAGCTTCCAATGGTGTGGCAGGAATAAAGCGGCTGTATTCACCAGGTGGTGAACCAGATCCGGAACTTGGTACATGGGGAATTTCAGCTTCTGATGCTCCTGGCGCATCAGATTTTCCATCATTGATTTGAAATGGAATAGCTTGTGAGGTTGAGGATCGATCATCATTGCCACCACGAGAATTGGCCATATCATGAGATAGAGCAGTAAGCACATCAAAGTCAGACTCTTTGACTTGAATCACGTTATTTTGAACACCGGTCGGACTAGTAAAGACAGGCTACAAAATTTTAAGAATGTTGAAACCAATAAATAATTTTAATTCAGTCGTTTACAAAAAGACACAAAATACACTTGAATAAATTAGCAGATGCAACGTTATTGAAAATTTGTCGGGTGTATAGTGAACTGTTACTAGTCATGTTGATTAAAATCCAGAATCTTTGAGTACACTTATAAAGGTATGACATATCAGCGCTTACTCGAAAGTATATATTGAAAAAGACTTTCAACGAGGACAATGGCCGATTGTTAAACGGGTGAAAATAATAAAGATCAAAAATGAAATCCGTAAACTTACTGAGGGGAGGCGATGGAGAAGACCAACTGAATAATGAATTTATTTTATTTAGATATTCGGTTAGATGTAACCACTACATAATATGTGGACGGAAGATACTTCAACATTTCCAGTTTACTAATTTGGTGGTAGATAACAACATAGAAACAATAGTTGGTAGAAGTTAGTATCAATAATCATAAGCTACATTTATTTCTCCCTCAAATATTTGTCTCTTATTCTGAATTGTGAACTGCTAGGTGATGAAATTGATAAAGCAAAGTCCTTAAAGATAATATCCAACAAAGGTCCACAAAGGATACTTTGTATGCTTTTATTTGAACCCAAATGATGTAAATTGGCACACAGCTTTACAAGTGAAAAATTTATCTCGGTTTTCAGTTTATAAATCCATTAATAATGTTTTCTGTCTACATTTATTTTTAAAAAAAAGGAATTTTTAATGAGGTTACACTAAGACATTAAAGTAAATTTGTATTTTTCGTGAGTAGAAAATAGTTTTTGGACAATCACAGTAGAGTAAACACATTTCCTGAAATAATCTGATATTACAATTATTCTAATTATTTTCTGATACGTTGATGAGCTAAGCAAATGTTTCGCAACTCCAACTTCAATACAGTGAATGCGGCTACTTCTATCTTCTCCTTCTTTGCCTGGTAACTGGATGGCAAAGTCTAATTTGTATAGAAATTTTATTAATCGATAACCCAGAGGGAATAACTTACATTCAATTTAATTCAGTTATGTATCGATTCAATGATTACTGATTACAGAATTTTATCAACTGAATAAGTGTCACTGAACACACAATCATAGTAAAATAATCAAAACAAGGAAAAATGCATTAGGAATCAAATAAATAGCTACAACTAAAAATACAGTGGATTGTTTTGTAATACTGCCATATTACTTTTAGAGGCAAATTTCCAAATATTTCGTTGTATCAAATAGTTCCGTATTGAGACGAAAATAACAAATAAGTATAAAGCTTGATTAGTTTTAGAAATGAAACTAACCTGGTTTTGGTCTAGCTTCCAGTGCCCATCAACAATAAATTTGTACTGATGTTCACCAAGAGGAAGATCAATGATCGTATAAAAGTTGTGTTTACTTGAGCTAATATAAAAATAAAATAAACATGAGTTTACGGTCTGTAAATGAGATCCGTATACAGAAAAATGGGTTGCTTCATATGGTATAGGAGCTACAACGTAGGACTGACTGACTGACTGATAGGAGCACACTACGAGAAAGTTAGAAGTGACCGAACCAAGACGTAAGATTGATCCAAGGATCCAGTGATAAGTGGACTTTGCCACGTGGGTAGGTTCATACTACCTGGTTGAGGTATATCCTGGGACCACCGAGTGAGAAATGCAGTTGTTAGGAAACGATGGTACATCAATTGATGAAGTAGTGAAAATTCATCAGTTGAGATGGCTGGGACACATGTTACGTATGCCCAACCACCGACTGCCTCGACGTGCGATTTTTTACGGTGTAGGAGTAGGTTGGAAGAAAGCTAGGAGTGGCCAGACCAAAACATGGCACAAATCTATGAAGTCACTGACAAGTGTACAGAGCCATGTTGGTAGGTGTAGACTACCTGGTTGGGGACCGCGAGATGATAGCAACCGATGGTTAGGGACCCTGAATGGCATGACTCAAAATCATTTACAATGTCGCACGTGCATCCACTCTTTGTGTTCTCCCAAATTCCAATCTTCTGAATTCTTCCTATCCCTTGTTTTCTTTTCAAATTTATTTCACTGTATTATACCCCGTGAATAATATCTTCAAACCCTAATTTTTCGAACTACTGCTTATACTCTTACTACCACTACGGGATTTGAATTGACAACTGCATCTCCGTGCTAATGAGGTATGGCAACTCGAACTGATGTACGTACATACGAAGTTCTACGTTGTTACTGACTGACTGACTAACCTGGTTGAGGTCTGGAAGATTATAGTAACCAGTGTTTGAAGATATTTCAGTCGGTCACAATGGTATAATTGTATTTACTCCTACCCTCCAATAGATAACAGTTTCCAAAATTACCTTGTTATTCTAAAAACAAATACTTTATCCTCGAATCACAATACTAAAATGAACTCTTGAATACAGGCATAGGATACAATACATCTAGTCTATCCGGCCTGAATATTGTCCAGTGTACGTCAAACTACAAGTGTTAAAGTTTATTTATTTAAACAGAAATATTGGTACAAAAAGCACCAAATACATATACGGCACATAATAACGATGAGAATGTGAAGAGGTAGATAATGTAAAGTGAGAATAAGTAAAAGGAGAACAATAACGAACAAAAATTAGTGTGATAGTGAAATAATAACAATGGAAGAAGGCAGTTCGGTTAGCAAAAGTACAACCAGAAAGAATTCTTTCAGTCAAAGAAGTTACGTTCATTTTTTTTATGAAAAAAGTAAAATAAAGCTACAGCAGGATCGCCCCTGGCTTCTACTCTGAACCATATCTGATAACGTCTCAAGCCACTGTGTTGCACCAACTCTAGGACCTCAACCAGGGGGTCGTGAAGGACCAACAGAAGCCAGCCCTGTATAGCTTTATTTCATACCACGACACCATTTCATAACCTGACCACCTCTCTGCTTTTTCCAACCAGTCTCAGTATCGGCAAATAATGCACGACGTGGGATCTCTGGAACGACAAATGTTAAAGGTAATAGGCTTGAATGGAACATGGTCTTCGAACAGCTGGATCATCGAATGATATCATTCAAAAAGCAATCGTCCGTTTAGACAGGAATTTTAGAATTCCAGTTGATCGACAGAATTTGATTAATGCTAAAGACTGAACAATCACCATATTGGTTAATAGTAGGTAATGTAAAACCCTCAATCAAGTTATTGGGAGCCTTGATAGCTAACTGATAACGTCTCCGACCGTAACACTAGTGTTGGTAGATCTAACCCCATGGGGAGTAAGTGTTGGTGAGACCATATTATAAATAAACGAGCTACGATCCAATTAGTCCAGATAGTTGGGACGATGGGCGTAACACTTACAGAAACAGTTTATTTGACTTCTAACTACCTTCTAGTTGCCAACTTTTGTCAAACAAACTGAATGGAATGTCAAAATAAGCTCCCCAACTCTTAATAAGGTTGAAAAGGCTATAACCAGCATCGAGCGGCGGAAAGCGGATGGCTTCAATGGATTAACCTTGGAGATGTTTGAGCATAGTCATCTAGTTTTGTCACTTACATTGGCTGAGGTATTAGCTGGAGTCTGTACACTGAACGTAGCCCCATATGACCGGTCACGGACGCCGATCGTTCCAGATTATAAAGAAGGATAGAGATCCTCACGTGGTAACTGCAGACGAATCAGTTTAACTAAATACACTAGACTGAGTGATTATCTGACGGTTATCTAGATCTGAGGAACAGTAAACCTGAGGAAAGCAGGTTGATTTGGGCCAAGACGTGAATGAAATGACCAGATATCCACTCTTCATCCGATTCAAAGATATAAGGATACCAACGAAGCCCAACAATGGCTGTATTTTCTAACTTTAAGATGGCATTAGACTGTTGATCTGGAGGTTTTATGGTGTCACTGAAGGGCGTGCCGATGTAATACATTAACCTTGTACAAGCTCTCTACCTGAATAGTACTGGTCGAGTTAAAGATTATGGCAAACTGTCATCAGAGCTGATAACACCAAGTGGTGTTCGTCAGAGTTGCTCGCTTCCTTTATTTTTATCTAGCTTGGTCAAAGATATTATTTAACGTGAAGATTTCGATACTTAACTTTTCAGGGGTCGATTAATAACAAGGAGACTCACTAGACTTAGAATATGCAGATCAAGTAGTTCTATTTGGTGACCCCCCGACACAATATAGCCTTTCGGTCGCCTTTAGCAACAACCCAAACATGTTTGGGATGCGTTTCATTCTCTTCGAATCCCATCTCGTACCTCGGAACTGGTCTGCCGAGACGCCTAAACTAGGGAGTGATAAAGTTGAAGTCTTAATAATTCTAGTGTATTATCATCCGCCGACGTTTTGTCACAGATTTCGGAAATTCATTTGTTTCCTGCCAAAATATGCCGCTTATGACAATTAGATGTAAATCTGCCGAGCGACATGTGAGTATGTTAAACAGTAGTCGGTTCTGTATCACTCTATGACTATGGAACATTGCTAACGTATGCTAAAACCACGAAGTGAGTTATGTTGACTTTATAGGCAAGTGGCAGGTAAAGGCGGAGAATGGATTGATAGGGTTGTATAATATGTAAAACCAACAACCGCCAGCCTTGAACTGCAATATTGGCTGCTGTAGAGGTGGGGTGGAGTATGTTAGCAACGTTCAAACGAATACACCACTGGGACATGAAGTTACTGGATATCAGACAGACTTATTGGTAGATGTAAACTACTTAATTGGACCGTAACCATTTGTTGAGAGGTATCTAATATCTGCAACTGATTCAGTGATGTAGTTTGTGGTCAACTGTGATAGATTTTTTATCGCCGATTCTCAATATGCCTTGATAAGAGGTTATTTTAGAAGTGCAAATTTAATATTGACTACGATAAAGTGACTGTTCAAAATATGCAGGCATACCAAGATAGATAGCCGCATTAAACTATCATTATTTACATGATATTATGCATTTCTAACCTTTTAACCATCGGGATTTTCGACCTCCAACCGTTGAATGTTCCACTTATGTAAACATCTTTTCCTCCTCCATCCCACTTAAAGACAGTTGGTACACTCTGTAAAGGTTGATTTTCTTCTGACATATCTAGACCTGGAGCCGGTCCTCCAAGGAATAAATTTGGTTTGCCGCCTGAGTCATAAAGTCTGGAATCACGGAGTTGATCCGCAATAGCATGGACGGCAGAATTACCAGTGACAAAGCTAATCACGGAATCTTCGGCAGGGGTGTCCTGAAATGAGTAAAATTTATGTTACTCCGTAAAGATGAACCTACATGTGACATCTGATATACATATCTTTTACCAGCAAGAACGCCCGAGAGGACATCGTCGTCCAGTGATGGTCTACGCTTGTGACCACTGGAAGAGTTGCCCATAATTTTGATTTACGTATAATTGATATGAGATTCACAATTTAAAGATTTTGGAATCAGCCACGAATTTCCAAATCCCGAAACAACATAAATGTCAGGACATAACGACCAAATTGTAACGACACTTTTAATTCACGCGGTCTCTAAAATCAATTAACTATAGATTCAGATAGATGTATAGAAAACAGAAGGCCTATGGCATGTTTTTGTCTTTTTTTAATGAACTCTTGAGACTATCTTGTCTCCCACTGGATGGGTCAATTGAAGGGGTGGACATCACTTTTCCAGCTGACTGGTTACATAATTTGACGACTCGGTGTGAAAACCTCTATGTTTTTCTTGGTTTTTCTACTCGCCTGCTATGTAATCTGAGTTGTCCCGATCTGGTGTAAAGAAAAAGGCAGGACATATGAAGTCCATCGAAATCAGGTCACCTCTTCGTTTGCTATAGGACAGAGGAAAGACGTATAGCATTTCAAGTCTATCTTTATGGTAAACCCCGAAGTGCTAAGATTGCACAGGTGGCTGTCCTCTTTAGTTCTTCCAAGGTGTCAAAGTCACCTTCTAAACAGAAGCTTGCAGCTTGAACGCATTTTTCAAGTTTGAATCTCATTAAGGTTACGTATACTGTAGTGAAGATATTAGTACCTAAATCAGTAAATGTTCATCTCAAAGCATACAAGTTTCTAAACCCCTTAGCTGCAACCTCGAGGCAGTGGGCTGTGGTTTCAATATCGTGGCTCACTGCCACAACAAGATTCTCGTGAGATCGGACTACAGGGACAGGTGTGACGCATGCTACTTATGTCGACAGACGCAAGTAGTATGCGACGACAATCAAAAGTTGAATGGCCGGTAGCAGAAGGCTAGGGATATGGAATTGAATGTAATATAAGGAGAAATAGAAATTAATTTTGCACTTCAAGAGTGATACAGATTGTGAAGAAAAAACGATGGAAATTCGCAAACGAAGTATTCAGTGTATGGTCCTCATACCTCAGTAAGATATCCTGTAATTTCGTATTAAAATACATTGACTGAACACATTTGTGTTTCCGTTCATTACAACTCCATATTATCACATCTTCAAAGTTGTTCTCTGTCGTAATTAGGAAAGTGAACACTTCTGATAAGACTATCCTTTAACCAGTTATTCGACAGTTTAGACCGTGTCGTCATTACTAATGCTACTACCTACGCCTGTTACTCCTTGTGAAGGAACATAGGCCGCTCACCAGCATTCTCCGTCCAACCCTGTCCTGGGTAATTCTTTCCAGCTCCTTCCAGTTGTTATTCACCTTTTTCATATCTGCTTCTATATCCCGACGTAATGTGTTCTTTGGCCTTCCTCTTTTCTGCTATTCATCAGGATTCCAAGTTAGGGCTTGCCTTGTGATGCAGTTTGACGATTTGCGTAACGTATGTCCTATCCATTTCCATAGTCTTTTCCTAATTTCTTCTTCAGCTGGAAGCTGATTTGTTCTCTCCCAGAGAAGGCTGTTGCTGATGGTATCAGGCCAATGGATGTTGAGTATCTTGCGAAGACAGCTATTTATGCATACTTGTACCTTCTTGATGGTGGTTGTTGTAGTTCTCCGAGTTTCAGCTCCATACAGTAGAACTGCCTTGACATTCGTATTGAAGATTCTCACTTTGATATTGGTTGAAAGTTGTTTTGAGTTCCATATGTTCTTTAGTTGTAGGGATGCGGCCCTTGCTTTCCCAATCCTTGCCTTTAAGTCTGCATCTGAACCTCCTTGTTCATCGATGATGCTTCCCAGGTATGTGAAGGATTCTAAACCTTCCAGAGTTTCGCCATCAAGAGTGATTGAATCGCTGTTCTCCGTGTTAAATTTGAGGACCTTGGTTTTCCCCTTGTGTATGTTGAGGCCTACTGATGCAGAGACTGCTGCTACACTGGCTGTCTTTGTCTGCATTTGTTCGTGTGTATGCGATGGGAGGGCTAGGTCATCTGCAAAGTCCAAACCGTCTAATTGATTTTGAGCTGTCCATTGTATTACGTGTTTTCCTCCAGATGTCGAGGTCCTCATAATCCAGTCAACCACCAGGAGAAAAAGGAAGGGAGAGAGTAAACAGCCTTGTCTGACTCCGCTCCTTACTTGGAATGCATTTGTCAGCTGTCCTCCATGCACGAATTTGCATTGTAGTCCGTCGTATGAGTTCCGGATAATATTGACAATCTTCTCAGGAACTCCGTAGTGTCGAAGAAGTTTCCATGACGTCCTTCTATCCACACTGTCAAATGCCTTTTCATAATTAATGAAGTTGATGTATAGTGATGAGTTCCACTCAACTGATTGTTCGACGATGATCCGTAGTGTTGCAATTTGGTCTGTGCACGACCGATCCTTACGGAATCCAGCTTGTTGATCTCGAAGTTGGGCGTCTACTGCGTCTTTCATCCGGTTCAGCAACACTCTGTTGAAGATCTTCCCTGGTATTGACAGTAGTGTAATGTCTCTGTAGTTTTCACATTTGCTCAGATCTCCTTTCTTTGGAATCTTGATGAGGTGTCCTTCTTTCCAGTCCATCGGAACTTGTTCCTCCTCCCAAATCTTTTTGAATAGAGAGTGAAGCATGTTTGTAGTTACTTCGATGTCTGACTTCAGTGCTTCAGCTGGCATGTTGTCGGATCCTGCTGCCTTCCTGTTCTTGATTTGTCTGATGGCCGGCCATCCTGATTTCTTCTGTCGTTGGTGGGTTGACATCTATAGGAAGATCTGCGTGTGCTGCTTCGATGTCCGGTGGATTCGTTGGAGCCGGCCTATTCAGGAGTCCCTCGAAGTACTCTACCCATCTGTTTTGCTGTTGTTGAATTTCAGTGATTGGCTTGCCTTCTTTGTCTTTGACCGGTCTCTCTGGTTTACTGTATTTCTCTGATAGTTTCTTCGTTGTATCGTAAAGTTGTTTCATATTTCCTTCCCTTGCAGCTTTTTCCGCCGCCGTTGCTAGTTCTTTCACGTATTTCTTCTTGTCGGTTCTAATGCTCTTCTTCACTTGCTTGTTTGCTTCTATGTATTCAGCTTGTGCTTGGACTTTCTCTGCTATCATTGGTGGGTGCATAACGTTGGATAATATTCATTGTGATCCCCTCCTTCTTTGTTTTGAATGATGCTTTGATGATTCTGGATCCGTGAGATTCCCATCCTACAAATGAATTTCGTGCTACTTTGGACAGCATTAGAGCAACTCTCTAAGTGTGCAGAGCATTTTCCTCTTCATGACCGGAGTGTAGTAGCATCTCTCCCGTATTTAGTCTTTGTTGTCCAGCTTGGGTCCAATGGGTTTCGCTGATTCCCAGTACAGCCAAGTTGTATCTTCTCACTTCCGTTGCTATTTGACTGGCCTTTCCGGTCTCCCACATTGTTCAGACGTTCCATGTACCTACAAAAGTGTTTGCTCTGGTTGTTAGAAGGGGCATCGGCCTCGTGGCTTCCGAAGGAACTCCGCTTTCACCATGAAGCGTCATAATTCTTCTAAATGAAGACCTTCTAACTCCCAGGGCAGAGTTAAAATGGTTTGAATTATTTTTTCTGGTAAGCGTTTTTTAGCGAGTTAGTTTTCTACGGGATGAGGACGCTAACCCCATGCCCAACCCTCCTCCTTTACCCGGGCTTGGGACCGGCAGTAACTCTGGAAGAGCTACAGGTGGAGTTCACACTTTTGATATAAAGATAAATATTTTAGCGATTCACCGATAAGTTACCCTAGAATGGAAACGATATCCAGTAAAACCATAAGAGTTCAATTAACTCAGCTACATGTACAAATAATCTTAAGCAAAAATTTTTTGAAAAATGTATGCTATTCCCCAAGAATATAACTAAACGTAACATAGAAAGGAATTTTAAATCCACCATTTCGAATTTTAAAACCACGAGTATATATTTGAATCAAGTGCTCCAAAACTCGGGTTTTCGATGGCTGATTAAATGCAAGTTTTTAGGAACTTGTGTCGTCATTACAACAGAGTGCAAATATACCTAATATTTGAAGTTATTTAAATCTTGAAAATTTAACTGTTTTATGCAGTGACCAAACACCATTTGCTTACTCTCTTCAAATCTTCCGTCTTCCATGTCCTCCCAGTTCTCCCTCCACTGTGGTCATCCATATCATTGATAAGCACCAGCCACTTTTTAGACCAACTAATAGAATATCTTAGTCTTCCCGAAGTGCATATGCATTAACGACTCATGTTATTTCTCTCTACAATTTTACATTATCAGCGTATGGTAGCAATGGGGACGCAACTGTATTTGAGATTTCATTTACGTACAATATAAAAAGTATAGGATCTAGTAAACAGCCTTTTGGTACCCTACTAAGTGCTGGTTTCCGGGGGGAGTATTTGAAATTTATTCTTTTTTTCTGTCTACGAGCTAACAAGAAATTCTTGATCCACTGTAGGGGAGACAAGCCCATTCCTAGATTTCTCAGGTTCGGGAGTAGTTTTTTTTCAGCACCTTGTCAAATGCATCTCTAAAGTTCACGTACAAAACACTCACTGATTTTCCATTGTCTAGGGCCTTTGTTCACTTCTCTCTCGCTATAGAAAGATTCGTCGTCCACGATAAATCTCTTCTGAAACCATGTTTTTAGCTGTTTAACAACTTGATGATTTTCACCAAACTTGTTATAGCTTTTTTGATTATTACTTCTGTTATTTTAACAACTACACTGGTGGGGCTAAAAGATATCCAGCTTGATGAGAGTTAACTTCATTCTGTTTTTGAATTGGAGAGACACTTGCATCCTTCCGAAACATTAGTAGCTCGCCTGAGCCAAGTGACGTATTTTATATCGTAATCAGTATGATATATTTCAAAATTTGTCTTAAGGTAAACGTAGCCGCTAGAGTGTTTACAAATTGCGTAAGGATTGTCTGAGCAATCGATTAAGCAACAGTCCGGTGAGTTTACCCCGAGAAAATTTGACTTCGTAAAATATTGATCATCTACATTGTTTTATGTTTGCTAAGT